ACAATCCGGCAGCACCTCCTCGTCTTGATAATCAATCCGCCCCCCAGAAATGAGGCCCTATGCTTGTATTTATAGGACTTCGGAAGCGGTTATTTGGATGAGAACAAGTGATTTGGTTTTATCTTTAGTCAATAACAGCCTAACCACGTTTGTAGATGATAACAAGTCAGTTCGGATGCTCAGGAACCAACAAATCTTGAGAAAAACCATCAAAAACCGAACCGGGACGAAACAGTGCGCGCAGGACAAGTCTGACCCGCGCGGGCGCGGGTCGGACTTGGGGCTGCAACTCAATACAAAACTCAACCTCTCTCACAGGAGGTAACCCAGGTATGTCCTGAAAGACATCCTGATAATCCGAGACAACTCGAGTCTCTAACAAATCAGAACTCTGATCCCGCAGCATCACCTCGTCGATGAACGCCAGAAATGACTCCGCAAAGCGATTGCCCTGAGAAGTGGCCACAATCATCTCGGACCCATCGGACGCTCGCAATTTGACTGTCTTCGCAAAACAGTCAATACTAATATGGTAGGACGATAACCAATCCATACCAAGAATGATATCAAACTCGGACATATGCAAAACTATCAGATCGACTATGAACTCCGACTCGTCTAAACTGATGGTACACCTCCTACAAACGCTCTCCAGAAGCGATACCTCACCTAAAGGGGTGGAGACTGATAAAGGGGTGTCTAGAGGCTGAGCTACGAGCTGGAGTCTAGCCATAAATGCATGCGAGATGAAAGAATGCGAAGCTCCCGAATCGAAAAGAATACGAGCGGAAACGGAATTCACAAGGAACGTACCCTCCACAACTGCTCCGCTGGCACCGTGATCACAGGGAACCACTGCATATACTCTGCCTGTGGCTGACGACTGCTCTGCTGCTAATGCTGGAGAATATGGGACAATCTGCCACTGGGGAGCCTCCTGGACTGCTCGAACCTGTCCCTCTGCCCTCTGCGTTGCTGGCGGTGTCTCAAGCCTGGGCTGCTGACCCTGACCTCTGCCCTGCTGTCGCTGCTGCTGGTGGTTCGGGCCCCTGCCCTGCTGAGCTCCTGCTGGTGTACTACGACACTCTGATACCTTATGCCCGACCTTGTGGCAGTTAAAACAAGATCCCTGAAACTTGCGCTGCTGATGCGCTCTTGGGGTCCCTTCTTATGAGGGCCATGCTGCTGCTGATGCTGATGCCGATGCCCTGTCAAAGGTCTCTTGTTCTTACCCTTATCCCCGCTCTGCCCTGCCTTGGTCTTCCCTTCCTTGTCCTTCAGGAACATAGTAGTCTCAATCTCCTGTGAGGTGGCGGCCTCAGCTACCTCCCTAACTGAATAGAACCTCCTCGAGACGAGGTACCGGCGGAGATTAGGGCGTAGCCCTGCTAAAAACATCTGAGCTTGACGCTCTCCTGTCTGCCACATACCCGTGAAATGCAGCAACTCCATAAACCAGCTCTCATAATCTGCCATTGTCATGTCCCCCTGAGTCATCCGGGACAACTCAAGCTCCTTCCCAGTCCGGGCTGCAGAAGAAATATACTGCCCATCAAAGAAGTAGATAAAGTCCTCCCATGTGAGGGTCATCCTCTGCTCTGGGGTAAACTGTAATCGGTACCATCTTCCGGCATCTCCCTTCAGACTGTAGGATGCCAACCTCTGCTTCTGGACCGAATCTACACTGAGTATGTCAAGTATATTGCTCACATCCTCCTTCCACTTGTGTGCTGCAAGAGGGTCTGGTGACCCCTGGAACTCGGGTGCCCTCATCTTCTGATACCTCTCTACTATACGGAGCCAAGCTTCCTGATCCGTGGCTCTGTCTGGTACCGCTAGTGGAATAACTGTAGGTGCTACCTCTGGGTCTCTCTCTCTGATCGGGACGGCTGGTATCCCCTGCTGCTAAGCTACCGGTGGTGGTGGTGTCCGTGGTGCTATGTGAGTCGTTACTAACTCTTCAATGGCTGTCATCCTGGCGATAAGGGGAGCCATGATGTCCACCAAATACTGAGGAGCCTGCTGCGGCTCTGGTGGTGCCTACTCCTGCTCGGGTGGAGCCTGTTGTGGCTCAGGTGGGGCCTGCTGGGGCTCTGCCTGAGCAGCCCTTCGAGTGCGGGGTCTCCCACGTCCGGCCATCTCTCTGATCATAATAAAATAAGGTTCATGAGTCAAAGTAGACGTACATACATAGTTCATCACAATATGATTTTCACATCACATAATATTCACACATGTACTTTAAGCAAAAATAGTTGTCACAAAAAAAATTTTCTCAAATCTCTGAGATATACGCATATATCGTCCTCACTCATACTAGGAAATCCTTAGCGGACTCTACACATGAATCCTAAGAAACTCTAACCTAGCTCCACGACTCGACACAGGATGATCCTAAGGATACTGGAACTAGAGCTCTGATACCAACTGTGAAGCCCCTGGGTTCACACAAGGCTGCAGTCCGAGGTGAAACCAGAAATGTCAAACCTGCCATGCACCACACCGTGCAATAACATGTTTCACCATCACAATTAACATCTATCTAGTAGAGTCAACAACTGGTGTAGGTACAAAACAGG